CCCTAGACGGACCAGTCAGAGAAGGCCCTGTGGGCCGTGCTCTACTGTGGCCGGTTGGGCGCCCAGGGAAGCATTTGTTTAGTGGCTGTCAGCCCAGGTCCTAGGCCACAGGTGTCTGCATGAGAAAAGCACCATCACAATTGGCAGCTGGGCCAAGAATGGGCTGTGGAGAATAAACTCCCTGGAGAGACTCCTGTGGGGTGGGGCTGAGGCTCGCTGGCTCAGTGGTACATGATAAGCTTCCTTTACTGTGCCTATTCTGTGGATCTAGAGAGGACTTAAGTGTCCAGGGCTCCAATCTGGCTTCTTTCATGAGCAGCAGTCACTAAAAAGAAAGAGGATCAGAGGTGATCTGCCCCATTCCCATTAACTCCCCTCTGCTTCCCTTCAGATGACCGCATACGGTGCATTCCTTCACAAGGGGTCCTTCTGCCGGAACTACTTCAACATCCTGGATCTGCTGGTGGTTGCTGTCTCCCTCATCTCCATGGGAATTGAGTAAGCACCCGTTGTAGCAACAGGTCTGCCTGTTCAGCAGAGGATAGGGCCATCTGCTGTGCTGTCATCTACGTTGGCAATAGAGACGGAGGATGGGTTAGGCCATTGGTCTGTCTAGCTTAGTATCTCACCTCCAGCAATGACCAGTAACTGATGCTGCAGATGGTAGGGATGCACCTGGGCAGATGCAGGGCTGTAGATGGAGGGTGGGGAGTAATTCCCTCCTGATCCCTGTGACAATCAGCCTGTGCCCAGAAGCATGTGAGTTGGTTGATTCCCCTTGCATTAGCATTCATACACTATTCAGTGCCACAAAGTCATCCAGCCACACTGTTGGGAGTAAGGAAATAAACAACCCCTGAGAATGGGGAGGAGAGGCTATGACATGAATTGGATACGCAAGGATTTTGTGGGCAGGCACTCACTTCAATCTGAAATTGCCTTCCTCCTCCCCCAGGTTCCTTCAGGACTCCTGGGTTCTGTTCCTCATGGTGGGTGGGAATGTGGCCTAGGGGCTAGGGCTCAGGACAGGGATGTCAGCGATCCTGGGGGCTAGGCCCAACTCTGCTACTGATGTACTGTGCAGCCGCCTGCCCCTTCCCCCACGGTGGGAAGCGCCTGGAAGTGCTGCCCTTGGGGAGCTCTGTCAAACTGGATTGCAATCCCCTCCTAGAACACATGACAGCCTGGCCCCGCCAAAGCATGCTCCCGGCCTGTCCTCCTGCCCCTGCCACTCCGCACCCCTTGGCCTGCCCCCTGCAGCACACCGCCAGCCTGCCCCCCAGCGCGCTCCCTCCCGCTCCGCACCCCCCAGCCTGCCCCCTGCAGCACACCACCAGCTGGACCTCCCCAGCATGCCCCTTCCCACTCTGTACCTCCCAGCCT